GAATACAATGACATATCCGACGTTTTTAATATTCAATCACATGTTGCATTACACTGAACACAACCACAATGGCATGCAATAGTCGCCATATAATTACGATTGGACGGAGCATTTTGTGTGGACACGTTCGGAGAGACTTGGCTAAATAAGCCACACAACAATCAACGCAACAAGCTGCGTTTTCGAACATTTTGACCTGATCTGGACAACATTTACACACCTAATTAACCAAAATATCAGCAGTTACTCCCTATTTTCTTCCCTGTTCATGGAAATCGTTGATTTTGTGTCCTTTCTTGGTTCATTTGGGGGTGAATTTGCTAATCCGCAGGCTACGATTTAGTGAACCACTAACACGAATAGATATTGTTGTGACTGATTCTTTTGTCCAAAGTTGTTTCATCAGGCTAGTCACTGTTGTTCCTCAATCGGTGAAAACGATTTCAAAAAAACGTCCATTTACAGTCATTGTGAGTAGTTGCCTAACAAAGCTTTTTAGGTTATTTCGCTTTCAGTAGAAAAATGGTAGAAAAATGGCCTATAGAGTTTCCTAATAACTGAGTATTTTGTTCACCGTGACAACAAAGGTCATTCACTGTGATCAAACCTCTCGGTTATTAGAAACACACAGCAAGTAACGTGATTCCCCCCGCTACTTAGTGTCGCAAATGTTACACAGCCCATTCATCCTCATTCGTACCGAATATTCTGCGGAGAATTGAACTCCGCGATTTTTCTCCCTTGACAGATTACCATTTTGATCACCCACAAAATATTTAAGTAAGGATGATAGTTACCTCGAGAGCAGTTACAGCTGCTGTTGTGTTGTTCTCAGGCTGGTGTTTTCAATCATTTTTTAATATGTACTCTCAAACCATTTATAACGTGTTAACCGGAGGATGACTGTCTGATTATCAAACACCATTTCAAAACAGGAGTTTATATGTATATATATCAATGCTGTTTCATAAAACTGGTAGTTTTATGAATATAGACCCCATAGTGTGGTCAGAGAGCTATAGATCCCACACTTCGAGCACAGTCTCTAAAACAACAAATTTGGTCATATACTCCTCCTCTCCACATATTTATAATTTGCGTATTAACCCCGTCAAAAAATAAGCACTGTTTTTGTGCCCGATGTCAAATTGTACCCCTTCGGGACAACTACAAGTTTCATATATTAGGCCCTCCTCCCTAGGTTATTTGGATGTCAGTTCCTTTTTGCATCTATCCATGCCTAACCTGTACATGTTTTTGAAGGTTGCCTCCAACTGCTCGTTTGTTTATGTTCTCTTTGTCATTTTGCACAACTCACCGTGCTATAGTGCTTGGCCTTAAAATCTACTCCCAATAATTATGGTCTTATTCTATTCTCCAAAACGAGGGAATCCTGAATAAAAACTGGACCGAGTTATTGGGAATTGGAGAAAACGTCGAGGTTGATAATGTAAAGGCACTTGAAAACACACCTATCATATGAGCGATTTTTATCCTTTTGTTTGGCTGTAAACAGGTCATGTACATTTATTGTAACGTCTAGAATATTCATTGGTCCTGATTTGTCTTATTCGCGAATTCCTCCCGTCGAACAGTGTATCTACTAGACATAGTGCAGTCACCTATCAGTATCGACGAAAGAAGCGGGACAATTGTTGTGAAGATAACGATACACACAGAAAACAACTTATCATTCAAACGTGTCAAAAGCTTGGGAAATCCATGTAATATACAAGAATTCGATCGGTTTTAGGGTGGAGAAACTTACTGTCATGTGCATTTTCGCTTGTGTGAGCTTTTACAATACCTTATATTATTTATTTAATTTGTTACACCTCATAAAATCATGTGGAATTTGTATTGGAAGACTTTTCCATTTGTTTCTGTTACCTTACGGGCTCAAGGGTAAATTATTCAATACACACAAGTTAACCCTAATCCTGCAACATTATCACCAACGGGATAATAAATTGTAACATTCATTAAGGTCAACTAAATGATGGAGAAGATTGCTTTGAGAGTAAGCGGACAAGTTTGACAGCGAGTAACCAAAGGATCAACGTTTTGCAAACTGCTGGAATAAAAGGCCTAACTGAAAACCCACTCAAATCAGTGATAAGGACCTATCTGCGGGTATAAGTAGCCTCTATTGTATGATCAGGGCTCACGTATATTCACTTTTAGGGCGTTGACAATGTCTATATGACCGGTGGCAAAATGCTAGCAGCCAAACTGCATCGGCACCATCGTCCATAGCTCTCGACTTACATAGTTCTGGTTGATTCATAGCCAGTTATGACATCTATTTTGACACATGTAATAACTTTTGTCTAACGATTGTCACAGCCAAGCATTATTCGCCACATGCTTCAGGCGCACAATTCAGGTCAGTCAACGTCTTACCGTAATCACTCTACATAGGTACCTTTGTATCTGTTTTGAGCTTTTTATTCACATGAACCACCTGTTTGAAACTTTAGTTTCGTCCATTATTTGACAATCAGCTTTCGTAAAATTTCCCTCCTAACGTTTCTCCAAAATAATCAAACTATTAGAAATTGAGGCTGATTTGCCCCACAATCAATGTTGATGGCTTTTTTAATGCCAACCCGCACTTCCAATGAAATAAGGTTTCCTTCAAAATTGTTTTCGCAGTTCTCTAGGCACTAGGTTATGAAATCCATTCAGTGTTTTCTCATGAAACTGCATGGACCCTGTTATTTTGGCTCAATCACTCGTCTGTACCTACGCGAGATAATCTTAGGTTTTGAAACAGGGCAAGCGCGCACGATAAATTTTTCACTGTTCTTAAATTATGGTGTTCTATTTGATCAATTCAATGATCAAATGAATTTTGTTCCTTGTCTTTGATGTCCTTTTTTGTTTAACCTTGATGCAAGGAACTTTCGAACATAAGAACAGATAATATGGTCAGACATCTCTATGCTCCTGAATTCTTTATTTAGTCGCCTTAAAATTATTGCTACATTGAAACAGTCTTCCTGTCTCGAATAGAGAACCCCAAACGTTTCTCCGCAGCTCAAGTTTGTCAAAGCTGTAAAGCGTACGATTTTTAAACGGTGGTGGTGCAAGTTCTTCTACTCTCCATACTAGCGACAGCCGCATGGTCCATCAAGGTTTTGTCTGTCGCAATGAAAAATATCATCTTTCTGTGGCATCCGAAACGTCATACTGACCTGGCGTTGGATTTGGTCACGTAACGGGTCCACAGTAGTTGAGGTTATTTGCTGTCCAAGATCCTGCACTTACAACTCCTTAGTAATGTCAAATTATCAGTAAGCACATGCTAAAAAAATCTAAATTCGCCCGATATTTTATCTGTGGTGGTGCTTAAGTCATCTTGTTGACTTGTTTTGATGAATCTGTGGTTCTCTGTGATAAAACGTTCTCGGCGTAAGGCAGAAGCCCCAGAATTTTAGAACAGAACATCATTTGAACAGAAATGATAACCTTCTGAACACTTTCTGCCTTTCTGATGTGATGCTCCAAAAGCTCATCTTGGCCACCTTATGACCAACTAATAAGCGACTCATCATTTTGCATACTAAGTCTGTATGTTTCCGATACCTCTTGGAACATTGCAACACTGCCTTTGTCAACTATCTATCTAGCCTGTTCCAATTTTTGGTGGTCTCTGGCTACGCGGCCGACTGGGGATTTCCGGAGGTGTGTAGTGTCTTTCGTACACAGGCTGGTTTCTGTCTAACTCTAACCATAAACAGTCTGATGAATCAAGCAATCATGGATTTTACCAAATCCTACGGGCGCAATCGCAATCAGCCCCAGGGCTGATAACTGAGTAAATTTGTTTACTATTTAACTTTCCTACTATAATAATTTCACCTGTAAAACAAAGTTTTCGGGTTATCCGTAGTTGATATTACTCGCCACTGCTAAAAATGAAGTTACTTGCGTGAGATCATCTGCGTGCACTCACAAACATTAGCCTACTTGCGTGTGTCCCCTCATGCGGTACACAGGTTTGGTATAGTGTGCCTCCAGCATGGGACGATCTCCTTCACATAACGCTTGAATTCCGAAATATCTCAACTTTCTGAAGTATTTTCCCATGGTTTTCTCATCTAATATTTAGTTGCCTGTGATATCCATACCTGCTGCTTAGATATCTACTATAACGAAAACAACAGGTTTCCGTGTGCTTCAAGCGTCACCAATTGACTTTCGTCACCAGTGACTCTATTTGTAGTTAATTTAGCTTAGGTACTTAATGCACCCAACGCTGTCGTAATCAACCTGCAAACCCCAGTAATCGTCTGTCTACTCTTCTTACCGATTAACCTATACAACCACAGCTCGTTATCCTTTCTCATCAAATAATTAGCAATAGTGAGTGTGGATGCGCGCGTGACTGCGGAGCTGCAGTCAGTTAGTTGCTCCACTTTTGATATCGATGGCGCCATTTGTGGTTGTCTTCATCCATAGTGAACTGATAAATGCACGGGTTATAGTAATCAACATTGTAGACACGTTCTAATTGTTGATCTTAGTGACATAATAAAAATTGTGTGATAAGCTTGTTAATGACAAGGCGATGGAGGCTCTTTGTTTTTCCATTTTAAATGTACGTATGGATTTATCTTGGCGTATTAATTTTCTTCTTCCAAACGTTTTTGTTTTAATTCACGTCACCTATCAGTGTTATAAAGTGCAGCGATCATAACCCATCCATGTGCGAACTGTGTAGTGTCAAACTGACAGCTCATACACCAAATAAATAAGACTTAACTTCATTGTTCCTGAGTTTCAGTTATTTTGTGCAACGGTTATAACCATTGGAACTTATGATAGTTCCAAAATCTCGGCAATGATAAAGCTCGGGCATGAACACCACTTTTAATTTAGCCCAACAAACACCTTTCAACAAATATGGTAGACACATGCTACACCGATTTCATCGAATTTAGAACGGATTTCCATGGCAATTTATTCATGCGGGTAATTAGAAACTATCACTAACTCCGCTTGTGGCGATTACCATGACTGTCCGAATCTGAGGTTGAATATTCATAACTTTCCGAACTGCTGGAGGAAGACTGCGTGCTATGGTCCTCTTCGCCTCTGTCTGATTCACTAAAATAGTCTTCAGAATCCGTTTCTGCATGAAAATAACCGTTTTCTTTCATTGTGTTTGCTTCTGATAACAAAGGGAGAAACTCTCTAACGACCTGATTTCCTGGTTCCACTTCCATCAACTGTTTACATAAAACGAGTGCTTGTCCGAAATCCTGCCCCATAACACAGTTCAAAAATTCCATGAATAGATCCAGATTGGATTCAGGAGTCATGTCTCCATGTGCCGAGGCTTCATAGTCACGTGTATAAGGATACGTCATTTATGTGTGAAGGAAAATGTAGTGCTATTCAGTGCGCGTCATTTTCAAAGCCTGGCAACCATTTTCGAATCGGAGCGTGTATTGTAACCTTGAAATTAGAATAGCATCGAGAGCGATGAAACCCGATTCCGTAGGATCATGCCGCTGCAAAAGGTAAATCTTATCTAGCCATTGAGATGATCGTGACAGAACCACAAATTTCTTTCACTCTTAGCTCCTTTGTATGTGGTGGTCAACCCGCTTTGATTCTTAGTACCAAGACATGGAGATTCATCCCGTATTCAACCCACAATGTGAGCATTTTGCCTGCCCTTCTCAGTACGCTCAAGAAGCACCTGTTGCTATCCAGAAGGCGCTTTGATCATACATTCTCATTGGCCTAGACCCCCTGGGATGGATGTTCCTTGCCATCCGAGAGTACTTAGTTGGACGTCCCCTGTTGGGTTTCTGATTTCCCTCAGCACTAGACCCACACCAAACTACTCGCTAGCTTCTAGCCTCACGCACCTCCAAGAACTTGAGCCATCCATCGCTTCTACAAATGGGCCACTTGCCTTTCCACCCGTAAAACCTGTGAATGTCTCCATCATGCCGGAAGTGCTCTTTTCTGGTTCTGAAGTGATTGATGAGACGCGTCTCTTAAGAGCAATGTTCACATCAGTCACTGACAGCACTCTCTGTTGTTACAGACTCCTCAACCTACTGTCTCTTCATGTTCCACATCGGCGAAAAGGTGTCTCCGGACCCAAAGCCTTGTCCAACTTTGCTCCGCCCTCCCCCCAACTGCACGATCGGCA